AAGTAATTTTAATATATATATATATATATATATATTTTTTTTTTTAAATGTCAATGGCTAAAAATATTTTTCTATCACAATATATTAAAATATAATTTATATTTTAAAAAGGTATTTATTTATAGCAAATTTTAATTATAATATAATTTTTACATTCCAAAATGTTTTATTTGTTATAAATTATAAATTTTAGTTATATAAATTGAATAATTATCTTGTTTTTGTATTGCACATGTTAAAATACTAGCAAGATTAGTAAAATTAGACAATGTTTACTGTTTTTTTTTGCTCCGTAAAATTACAGAGTATATCATCCAAGTAATAATTTAATTCTACACCATATATACACCTCAACTAAAACTTAGAGAATAATTCTTACAAATTTTGTCTTAGAATTATTAAAAAAATCAATGATATGGTTATTGGTACTCCCTATTGTCCAGCCATATTACATCCTTTTATAACCTCTAGAACTTTATCTGTAGTATACCATTGATGAAATTGTTCTAATATGTTGTTTACTTTGATTGTGCTGGTAATTTATTATTCATTCTCACAATTAGTTCCTCGTTATTCAAACCTACTTTAATATTTTGAAGCTTTATTTAGATAATTTTTTTTAAACAAAATATGTTGTTCAATCAACTTAAAAATATACCACGTAAATAAACTAAATATTATTAGCTTCTTATTAATCATACAGACGTTGACTCTAATTGTAAAAACATCATAGTTCATCTAAAAGTTTCATTTATGTTAAATATTAATGAGTCTTATTCTATGAATATCATATGCAAATGGAATATAAATGGAAATAAGTGTGCCTTTTGTCCATGATATAGCCCAAGTTGATGATTGGGGAAGAGTTAATTCAAAACTAAAGTCATGGAGAGACTTTGTAATCAAATTATTTTTGGTTAATTAGGAGCGAGACAGAGTACATGTAATGTAAATATAGTAACATGAGTTACTAATATTCAGTGTTGTTAAATAGCCGCCTTAGTGGTACTATAATGCTATTGCATTGCTGGATTGCTTGAATCCCTGATCACGGGTCTGTCTGCCATAGCGGCTGCTATGTTGTCATGTTTGCAGTTAATATCATGTCAATTTTTATGGTGTCATGAATGACCAATATTAAAACACGCAAAATGAGGATCAACATAAGAAAAACTCGCATGACTTTGTATGTTTTAATATTGGCTATTCATGATACCATCTTAAGATTCATATTCACACATCTCAGTCTTACATAATAGAGTCCTTTCACTACACATGCTCTCTATATATGCTCAAATATAAAAAAATTACCCAAAATTATAAACATTCATATACTAGCAATTGAGAACAAGGAGGAAAAGACCTGTGCGAGAACAATCTCTGAGCAGTGTTATTAAATATCGATCATAGTGGCGCTATAGCATAGTAGGTTTAAGCATAAACACAATTGCGACAGTGTCATGTTTGGGAGGCTTTGAGAGATGCCATTGTGACCTCCTTACTCCTATTGGCCACTGTGCTTGTCGCAGGTCTTGCGCCGCAAATTGAGCATAGCAGCAGCGGAGTTCGTGGCATAGGTTGGGTGGGCATTTAGGGTTTGCCATTCCTGAACTAAAACAAAATAACAGTGTTCATATGGGTTGTAGGTCACTGTTCTGAAGAGACAAAATTAGAGAGTTAAAATTGGGCCTTACAAGATTCTGTTGCAGATTGTTTGAAATTGGCAAAAACTTAAAACTCACATGCAACACTTTGAAACTCACGTGAGCATTTTAAAATAAGTCAGGAGAGGGTGTTTTACATGTTTATTACATTATATCCTCATTGTTGCCTTTTTTTATTCTATTCAGTTTTTTCTGACTTGGGCTTCCATAGTTTTCAAAAAGCCCAACATTGGTCTTTTATTCCCACTGGTCTATGCCTCTTTCTTATAAGGTAACAATTTTTTTTCCCTTTAATCTTTTTCTTCTTTTTTAATCTTTTATTCTTCTTGCATTTCCAAAACAAAATCTTTTATTCTTTATCCTTGTTTGTTCTAAATTTCAATTTATTCCCTTTCCATTCTCTCTTCAAAAATTTGTTCTTCCTAAATTTTTCCTGTGATTTTTTGTAATTTGTTACCACTTTTTACCCTTTTTCTCATTCTGTTGTTTTCCCCTTCATTGTTGTCTTCCAACAATTTGAATTTTGGTATGTAATAATTCAACTGCTATGCCTCTTTTGCAATGTGCCTGTGATGCAATCCGTCATATGATATAGTGGATTCAGTTTTTTGCGATTTTCAGCTATCTGCTAATGATTACACTCTCTCTCAGAGAGAACAGGGAATAATGAGAGTGAACTAAGCAGAAATAACCGAAAGAATGTCGGAGATTGTGCTAGGGAACAAAGCAGGCTGGAAACACCTGGAAGGTGCTGGAAAATGTCAGAAATGGTGCCAGAGAATAGTGGCTCATGTTTCAAAGAGACATGGTTGCATGGCTGTTTGAGAATATGGTTATGATTTCAAATCCCCGCATGAGGAATGCAAAATCTTAAATCCCCCCCACAAAGAAGCCTTGACCGATACAGTATAATTGTAAAGGTAAACAGGGGTTTTCAACTATCAAAGTTGTGCTGATTCTCTGCTGAGATAGCCAGCATTGCAGAACATGATTAACAACGGAGATAGTTGTGACAAAGATATGAATGTTGTGGTGGATGATTGAACCTGAGAGAAATCAAGGTGAGGAACATACCTATTTTAGATAAAGTTGGTGCAGCGTCTATAAGATAGTTGTGTCAAGATAAGGAACGTACTTATTTTAGATAAAGTTGGTGTAGCACCTATGAGATACAGCATTACAGAACACGATTAACAACCATGAGATAGTTGTGACAAAGATATGAATGTTGTGGTGGATGATTGAACCTATGAGAGAAATCAAGATAAGGAACATATTTATTTTAGATGAAGTTGGTGTAGCACCTATTGAAGAGAAGTTAATCGGAACTAGCCTAGGGGGTTTTGGTCATGTGAGATGACCAATAGAAGCTAGTTGGAAAAGTCATGGAAGATAGTCAATTAAAATGGTAGAGGTCGACCTATCAAAACATTGGGAGAAACCATTAATTTTTCATTTTGAAAAAATCATTTTTGGCAGTTATGGAATAATTTGTGTAGTTGAACCTTTACTTTCCTAGTGGAATAAATGAGTAATGCTTGATTGTTGTTTTTGTCCAAAAATCTATGTCAAATGTGATGGGAAATGCTTTTTCTTGCACTTTTTTTAATGCACCGCAGCTCCATCATTCACATTCTATTTTAAAGCCTGCATCTCTTAAAATAACCTTTTTGTCTGGGTAACAATTGACCAGCTTGCATACCACAACTAATCTTGTACTACTGATTTATTCTATTTTGTCATTCAAGAGGAGGTTGACATGCAAACATTTGCATGCGTGTTAAGGTACATGGCTTACCTTAAAAGTGACTATTATTGTATTTTCAGAGACTCCACAAATCGTTTAAAGAAAATCAGTATCCAGATCGAACAACAAAAGAAAGATTGGCACTAGAACTAGGGCTTACTTATCAGCAGGTCATATCTTTTAGCTCTGCACTACAGTGAACACATTTTAGCTTTCTTTCTTGGCTTTCTGAGTTATCACTTTTTTTTCACTTTCAGGTTACCAAATGGTTTGACAATACACGTTGGAGCTTCCGTCATTCATCACAAATGGAAACGAAATCAGGTAGAAATGCTTCACAACAAGCTACTGATGGCAGAACTGAAAATGAGGAGAGGAAATGTGAATTAATGTCCCCGGAGCTCAGTGGAGAAAAATCAAAAACCCCAAGCTCTAGAAAAAGGAAACATTTCTCAGAACCCCAAGCATCTGAAGCACGACTGGATATCAATGGATCAGCAACAAGTTCACCAAATGCTCATGAAATTCAAACAAGCAATAAAATGAAGACAAGGAAAAGGAAATGATACTTCATTAAAAACTCGTGTTTAACCTTTTACCAAGGCTTCAAATTAAAGTATCCATCTTTTTGTGAGATTGAGATCCCATGAGAATTGTGATGTTCTGCTCGGATCTCGATGGAGTTGTTTCATTCAGGAAGGTAACCATAACTGTGTGCCATTGTTTGTAATTTTAAAATTAGCTCTCCAGGTATTGATCTCAGGTGAGTTTTAGTGTTGCCCCTCGTGCAAACACTAAAATAGTTCAGTTTAATAGTTTTAAAATTTAGATTTTTTTAATTACAGAGACCCCATTCCTTGTTCCAAATGATGTTTTTTTTTCTTTGAAGGGGGTTTACTAACAGTACAAAAAGAAAAAAAAAAATGAAAATGGGGGAACAATCTATTTTGTATCGCAGGATTCAATGTCATTACTGTATTAACCTGCAGGCATCCCCAGTAAATATAACATTTTCCATGTGTGTGATTGTCCACAACATATGGATAGGGTGATCATCTTAAATTTGATCTTTTATAGTGTGGCATTGAAGGTGGTCTTCGGGACTCTTAAAGCTGCTCGTGACGTGGGTTGCCTTTTTTTTTTTTTTTTTTTT